TTATTTGAAGTAAATTTCAGTTAGAAGATTTCTACTAAAACAATTAGATTATTCGTTCTCGATCAATCTAGGAGGTGAAAGTTGATTCGGCCCCTTCGGCCTCATCAACTATCACCTCATAGAAATCTTGAGCTCATAATCTAATTGTTAAAAAGGAGGCACCCTGCTGTGTTCAGTCTACTGGAAATCTGCGAGTCGTATTGGTCTCTCTTCGTTTCCCATTTAATTAATATAGTCCGTGGAGTCGTACGTCACAGATCTAGATGAGGTCAAAATGCGGCAAGAACGAAAAAGTGGCACACTGGCGGATAGGCCGGTGTGTCACTAGTGTTCTTGCCATATTTTGACGTCTTCTGTGATCTCTTACTGAAGAGACCCACGGCAACATGGAATGTCTCTGTTTTATATATTTAAAAAAAACAAAACCAATTGTTAATGACGTCATTTATGCGTCTGTCCTGCAGTAGATCATAACTAAAGATCAATCAAACTGCGAGAATTATTCGACATATTGTATAATTAACAATTATTCCTCGAGCGCGCGTTGGATATGAGATGGTACATAGGCAAAGAGGCGCGCAGCGCGAAGTTGGTTGTAACCATCTCATATCCACTCTATAGCCAGTTGGTCAATGCTAAAATTGCCGATAACTCAGACGTGACCTGACGTCTTTCATCGCATTACTGTGAATATTTGTTTTTATTTATTTATTTTATTTTATTTTGATTTACCACACAAACAAAAGTGGAATTACAGTACAGTAATTACACCTGCTTTCAGTGTTACGTGCATATCAATTATCTCTCGTCATGCCATCTTTCGACATGCTATGTAACCTGGTCAAAATGTAAGCACAAGTGGCTTCTTTACGGTCGACCTCGACTTTTAGTCATGAAAGATGGATTTATTTGACATCAAACTAAGGCTAGGAGGATCAAGAAAACATTCTGTGAGTGATAAATCGACTGCTTTGAATGTTTCCATCTTTCGAATATTAACTGAGCGGTAGCGGCCCAATTCTACCTGAAGTCACTATTGAGAGCCGATCGAGTACACTAAAATCGTTTGAATTATCCCGTAAATCGGGAGTCCACAATCTTCTTCATTTATTTGAGGTCAGTAATTATAATTATCATATAATTGTCATTTGTTCCGCTAATAACCGGAAAAATTGCTAGTTTCACAGGTAAACCGTATTTCAGCCGTTTACATAGCATGTCGAAAGAAGGAATGTCGAGAGATGGTCGAAAGATATCGCCTGTGCACGTAACACTGAAAGCGGGTGTAATAAATTACAAAAATAATATACAACTATTACAGTGTATAGTATTTCAAGACAACAGCAGAAGCCACATCACAATTTAGCGTACGGAAAGGTGCAAAACACGGGCTGGCTCAAAAAACTACTTTGACCGGCATTATCGTTACTTAAAACTAGAGAGACCGGACTGAGACTGAAATATCTTCCCTGTTTTTAACGTTTTGAGACCAGTTAAAGTTCTGACATCGTATAACTAACCCAACGCGTTTCAATTTTCCTTTTGACAGAAAGGAAATCTCACTGATTCGTATCCGAGGGTTCATAGTCTCCAGTATCTACGCCCTGTTCTTCTCTAGCTCAACCATGGCAGGATTCATTTCAGTCACGACTCTACTTTTTATGGATACTTCGCTGACATCGTTTAAAGTCTTTACTTTGCTTACTCTTTTAACTAACTTAAAGATGGTAGTCACGATCTTTATAGCAGATTCATTACGCTACATTGCCGATGCAAGAACTGCATGCAGTAGGATGCAAAACTTAATAGAAAAGAAATCCATGTTAACACGCAACATGGATTACCAGGACAAGCCGTCTTCTCCAGAAGTTTCCTTCAAAGGCAAAGGGTATGAACCAGAATTTGCTACAACTGAGAGCTTTAAAAAAGCAAAATCTCATCCGAAACTAGGCCAGACATCTCAAAACATTAAACCAGGGATATTTCTTGAGGACGTTTCCTGTTCGTGGAACCAAACAACAGAACTTCCTGCGTTACAAAGTGTTTCATTGAGTCCTGCAAATGGGCAACTTCTGGGCATAACAGGGCCAGTTGGAAGCGGCAAAACGTCATTGTTGATGACCATCCTAGGAGAACTCCCAATCTCCTCTGGCAAAATTTCTTGTATTGGAAAAATAGCCCTCGTCTCCCAAACACCATGGGTCTATTCTGGTACTGTGCGAGACAACATCGTTTTTGGCAACC